CTCTATGTTCATATTTTTAATTTCCTATAGTAGGAATGTCCTTAGATATAGAGCCTCTTAAACTGTGAACTCTTATTCACTTGCTAAACATAGAAATTATGATAAACCCTCTGGGGTTGTTGATAAGTTCGTCGTTTAATAGTTTTTAACCGACTTTAAAAAAGAAAAGAGGATCTCAGTTTGACATCTAGGTATGTATGTTTGTACACAATTACCTCGTGATTGGCAAAACCGCGTTTGATACGGTTTGCAAAAAAGTGTTAATAACACTTAGGAGAAGGATTAATACAGGCGACGTCACCGCCACTGCGCACGCCACTCATGAGGAAGAACCCCTCTGTGGTTCCAGACTAGTAGAGCCTATCTCAGTATATTTACATGAGTAACCCGTGATTTTTAGTTAATTTAGTATGTCTCGCGATAGTTATTATAAAAACAAGGTTTAATATGTTAAACGACTTACAACAGAGGGAGATGAAGTCGGTTTCTTTAAACATGGTTTATGAAAGAATTATTCATCATTAACAGCCTATAAATGCCCACTGCTGAGCAAAGCCTCTTCTCACACGGAGAAGGTTTGAGCATTAATCACCACGGGTGCTCAATAATAAGCCCAGGTTCCCTCACAATGTTTTCCTTCACCGCTTGTCAGTAGTGTCTAAATAAACTTAGAATTAGAAAGTAAATATAACGCGGAAAAAGTCACATTGGTACTTGCCGTTGGAAGGTTTCGAACCCGCACCCTCATGCATGAGAAGCGGGCGTCTTAAACGTCCGGGCCGTCACGACACAAAAGAATTATTAGAACCTAACAACTCACTCTACATAATAAACAGTTACTCATAAGCTGACAGCCCTAACCACACAAGGCCTCCCACCCAAGGACCTAGTGATATATGTATTGTATTGTACCCGACTGTAGCTAAAAGGGAGGTGCTGTGTTCAACTAGATGAATTTGCTTTGTATTAGAGTGGAGTTATTAGCAACAGCAATATACTGAGATGTGAGAGGGAATTAGTGAAGCAATTTCCAAAATGCTGTGATATATTCGACTTTATTGTAGTGTGTATTAGGTTATAAATAACTACTTAGGTTTAAATTTTTTTAACAATATGATATTCAGATCATTAAATTTTAAAACGACGTTGTATAGACGTGACAGGGTAGACCAAGGATGTTGAAAAAACCACTAAAATATTAGTGGTGTATTTATGTAGACATGCGTCCAACATCGTAATGTATGAAGGGTAATGACGAGCAATAACACGAGATAGATGCCCTTCGTGTCAAATGTGAATGTGTTTGTATTCTGCATGTAAGTCAGTCGCCACAGTCGCTGTTTTAGGAGACTGTGTCCGCCATTATTTCAACCTCCTTGGGATAGACGAAGTAGTTCACTCAAATATAGGTGACATTGTACGTTTTATTGTAGAAAAATGCTTTTCAAACATACAGATAGAGACATAACCGTACCGATTTTTTTTTCAAATTGTAACTAAACTACTATATAACTCCACAAAACGTAGAAGAAGCTAGTTAAAAATAATTACAATCAATTCTAGACTATAAATGTATCTTTACACTATAAATATCTTAGGCACAATCCCACAGACAATGATTAAACTAATAAGACAGCGCGTAAATTAATGTTAATCAAAACCTCCAACTAATTTAGTACAAGCATTCTATTTATTAGAGACTCCGCGTCGTATGATCTTTACACACAAACGCATATCAATATACACCTTAGTATTCGACAGATATTGAACTCTACTCTTTGGTAATAAAGATGGGAAAGGCGACGACACGTTGTATGAACTTTACATATAGACGCACATCGACATATACCCTTCTATCTCTAATAGATTTTGAACTTTAACGTTTTGTGATAACGTCGAAAACGTATTCAAGATGGTGGATGTTGACGTGCGGTGTATATGTCTCGTCTAATGAAAGCCTGTACTGAAGCACCAGCTTGCATGCCTAATGAAACCTAGAACTAGGCACATTAATTCTGTTTAAACTTAAAACTATGGTCTAAGTTTTGTTCCTAGAATGTTCGTGGCTTTCAAAATTGTTGTTTTAGATAATTTTATAGTTAAACGGTTACAGTGTGGTTTTGTAATATGAGTACACAGGTGTTCAAGGTATGTCGTCTGTTTTGTGAAGAATTGGACATAGATATGAAATAGTTTTGACAAAATAAGGAGGCCCTTATTGTATTTACATTCACTTATAGTACCTAGAAATATAAAATTAAGTACGTAGGTCTATTACGTATCTATATTGTGCGAATAATCGAATAATTATGTTATCATATGCTATGAACAAATTCACAATAATGTTACCAATGAACATCTACCAACATCGATAACGTTAAAATTTTATCCAATTTCATGTAAAATCAAATGCACACATCTCCGAAAACCGCTCTAATATAATAACTTTTCGAAAACTATTAAAACAGCAATATATCATTCATGACGGGGACAAATTAGATTCAACTAAAACTTCAATAATAAATTAATAGTATACTCATAACTAATTGTTCCCCCTCCTTCCACTCCTATCACTTGCATCGTACCAACCAACTCTCCACCCTGACGCTTTGATAACAAAGTTGAAATTAATTTGTCAAAATCCTGGGGGAGCATAATGAGGTTGAAACTAGATACACACGTTTCGGCGCAGGTGTAATTTATTGCTTTACCCGGTTATTATATGGAATACCCATCATAATTCCATGTTGAGTGGCTACGTGAATGGATTAACGAGTTTTTGAGGTTCATTTTGTATGTTTTATATTGGCAGACTGGAGGTAATTTAAGCTATATGAATATATGAGGTGCTTTTACATAATTTAAGATTAAGAGCGACAAAGTTGTTGGTTTGGTTATAATTTAGTTTTTTCCAAAATGTTTACAAATGATACGTAATTAGTAATCACTTAGTTAGGTTAGGTAATTAGTAATCACTTAGTTAGGAATATTTTGTCAGTCTCCCTCCGTAAAACGCGCAACAGAACCTAGCTGCATAAAAATATGCAGCTAGGTTCTGTTGCGCGTTTTACTCTATTCTTGGGAATAGAGTAAAACGCGCAACGGGAATGGGAAGCTTCATTATTCTATTCTTGGGACTGTGTTTGTTGCTGCATCCGCAGATGCTAACTTGTGAACTAAAACTTGTGTCAGGGTAGGGAAACATACTAAATACAAGTGTTCATGCACATAGAACCTATGTACATACATAGGTAGGTCCTAAAAACAGGTGAATGATCCTTTTCCTGCCTTCCTTTGCAAATAACGTGTGTTTTCATTTCGCATTTCACAAAAATGAATTTTGAAATTTAGATTTTCTAAAGAATTTTGGTTGCTTTACGTTTTGTTTTTGATGTATGTACATACCAAAGGTGTTATTGAGAAATGAACTTTCTGGAGTTAGAAATACACCAGTAATTTGTCTGACTCGTTGGTAACACGAGGTTGAGTTTATGTTTGCTTTTAGCTTTTTAAAAATAGTCTTTAGTTTCACAGCACGAACCACGAAGTGTCTTATGGCAGGTCTAACAGTACCTCTACAATATGGAATAATTAATAGAATAAGATTTAGTTTAAAACGCTTTCTTATCTATGGATCTGGTGTTAAAATTTGGTTCAATTTTTATTAATAAAGTGATTGCAACAGGAAAAACCGTAAGATTTTGAACTTTCAACGGTGCTCAATATAGCACTTTTATAAGATGCTTTTAAATTACAGTTACTTTTTCGATTTAATTTTTTTTATTGATCACCAGTCAATTTACAATGAACAAGTGAAATGTTCTATTTCAATTAATTAAATATATAATTATGAATAATTACATTATACAACTTAAGAAAAAGAATAAAAAAAATAAGATGACTTTATAAAACTAGTACGATACAGTCGCCTATTATCATTTGACTCGCATTTTAATTACTAGACAAAGTTACTATATTTATATGCTTTTCCTATTATGATATTATTAGTATACGTATATTTTAAGAACACGCAGATCCTTGTAATTACTCTGAATAGCTCCTACGGGAAATACTTGGGGAATGTAATGACTTCTCGTGCCTTATTTATTTGGCTTCGCGCATCTATTATGTAACAATAACTGTCTTGTGTACAATATTGTAACTAACTAAACCTATAATTATTATTATGGAATTGAGTTCACTATGAATTTACGACTTACTTTGTTAAAGACCTGACGCTTAAAAATACATGTACACAGTTGATTATTTTCAGATTTGTCTCCTCGCTATGTAGTCACTGCCACCTCAGCGTTCACTTGCTTTTTGAGCATTTTTCCAAAACCAGGTAAAACCTGGCTACCTCCTACCTACCTACCTCATACAACAATGGCCAGCAATTCAACCAAATCAATCAAGATTTTCTACTCTATTGTTTAGATACAAAGTAGAAAATCCAATGATAAAAATTGACACGTCGATGTAGGTTGACGTGCCGATCACTGTACATTGAATCAGACACTTCTTGCTCTAAAGTCGCCAACCAAGGAGCCCGAAGTTTAATTTGTGATACAAAACAAACATTGCAAAAAAACAACTATTAAAGTTCCCTTTCCTTACAAATCTACGTTTACGAATCTGTTCAAGGAATTTTCGAATAAATTGCTTGACTTGTTGACAAAATCGCGCGAAGGGTCCAATTGAAATAAATGATTTGAGTTTTGTTTGCTAGGAGCTGTCAGCAGCCTCCAAACTTAGGCAGTTTGTGTTCAATGTTCATTCGAAAACATTTAGAACAAGATTGACAAGTGATAAAAATATTTTGATAGACAAAATATAAATATTTTGTAAAGAAAAGTAGTCTTAATGTGTCATGGTAACTATAACGTAAAACATAAATATTGTTTGAAGAGCAATAACCGAAACATCTGTACATACCAGTTCAAATTAATCCATCTTTCTATTTCTGACATTGATGCATAATAATAAATACTAAAACTCACCCTAGCGCGTGACCTTGTGCCCTGCTGGTAGTCGTAACCTCTGCCCTGTAAAACAAGAAAAAAGTATCGATTAATATTTTGATCACTCACAAATGTATGATAATCAGGCATTATTAGAAGGTTAAAGTTTTGATATTTCTCAAAATTGAATAAATTTCTCAGTATCAGAAGATATCTTAGTCTGATTAGCCTTTCATCTGTCTTCTCCAGAAAATAATAATTATATACTCCTATTCTTATATTGACTTGAAATGACTCTTACTGTGTCGTTAGCCGAATGGTCGCAAGTACGAATACCGATCAAGGGGTCTCGGGTTTGATTCCCGGGTCGGGCAAAGTATTAGGGTTTTTAAAAATTCTCAGTAGTAACACGGAGTCTGGAATTGTGCCCGGAATATGGTAATAGGTTCAACCCCTATTACATGGGACTCATAACATTAATAGTGAAAAGTGGGTGCTACATTGTACAGTGGCATAATGTACACCTCTGCCTACCCCTTCGAGGATAAAAGGCACGATGTTATATTATGACTCTTCAACTCAAAAATATTTAGAAGTAAGAATCACATGACAAATTCCTAACATAATATTCAATTACCAAAGAAAATGCGTCAAAGGTAACTTTCAAGATCACAAAATTCGTAATCCAAGTAATTAGTATCCACCTAAGGATTACAAGTTACAAGAATATTACATTTCAAACAAGCATATGTACAAACGAACTCATTCTTAAGGTTTCTGTAGAACGACCAGAAGGTGGCAATCTGAGTACGGATGATGAGTAAAATGGTTTATATGTCTCTCTGATAGTTTAATTAATTGGACACGAATACTATTTCTATTTTTATCACCGTTATCGTCATATTAGCTACAGGTCGTCCATTTCTGAACGTTGGCGTCTCCCAATGACTTCCAAATGGGTCTGTTAGAAGCAGTTTCTATTTTATGCAATAAAAACCTGTACGCCAATAATTTATTTTGATTTAAAATATCCCTTGATGATATTATCTTTGCATTGATAGCTTAAGAGAGCATAGGCAATGCATTCTTTAATTTCTATCTTTTGTAATGTGTATTTTTTGTTTTTTTTTTATTTCAGTTTTCTTTTAATGTTATATAAAGTACTTAATTAGCTAGTAAGAATAAGAAATGAGCGCTTCTCGCCGTTAAACGTTATGTTTGGCGAGGATCTATAATTATAAGAACAACATGTTAATCCTAAAATTGTACTTTTGTTAAATAAATAAATAAATGAAATAAATTGTTAACTAACGCATGGCAAGGTGTCACTTTGAACTTTATTTCGTTTTATTCACGTATTTTTTATATTGTTTTTTCAATATACATATTTTTTCTGCCTCGTTGACTGAGTGGTCGCAAGTGCGACTGCCGGGCAAGGTTCGATCCAAAACAAAGGTCATGCAAAGTATTACTAGGTTTTTTTGTAAAAAATCTCAATAGTAGCACGGAGCCTGGAATTGTTCCCGGTAAATGGCAATAGGCTCACCCCCTATTACAAGTCATAACATAAATAGTGAAAAGTGAGTGTTACATTGTTACAATGTACACCTCTGCCTGTCGCAGTCCGCGCGCGCCTCAAAGAGCCATCAGACCACCACAGATGGGGCCCAATACGGCCGATGCCGATTCGGAGTCGCGGAGAACCTAACGGGTAACCGGGGCTCCGACTCGACGTGCAGGAGAAGGAACGGGGTGGTTTTTAGTCAGGAAGAGTCTGACACTCCCTCCCGCCTCACCCAGGCGGGAGCAGTCATTCGATGATTTTCCCCACTTAAAAAAAAACACCTCTGCCTACCCCTTCGGGTTTAAAAGGCGTGATGTTATGTATGTTTTTTTTTCACAATAGAACAAATAATCGTTTCGGATTTTTTTTTATTTGCATACCCTCTCCTCATCCCTATCATAACCAGCTGAAATCTTCAGACATAAACACGTAAATTGGAACTCTGAAAGTACTTCAGTAAGGTTATATATTGTACAAACTAGTTCGCTATAAGCCACGTAATCCAGAATAGAGCCTACTTCGACACGTGACCGCTGAGTTATGGTTACGTTTCAATCTAACATTTGTTTATCTTCAACCTTCTTGTTTATAAAGGTATAAGCTGTTGTGTAACTATTTTGATTGTGTTTGGATGATTTATTGATTAATTTTCATGTAGTATGGAACTGAACTAGATCTTGGATTTAATCTCGAATATGTGGCAGATGTGAAGGCGTGGAATATTAGTCTAGTTATAAATAGTGATTGGAAATCGTTTATTTGAAAAGAAAACTTAAAATGTATAAAATATTCACACAAAACTTTGAAAGGACTTTACTCCTTGTAACATTGATAATACAAAGATCGAGTTACGAAAGTAATAAAAATAATTAAAACATTTTAACTAATTCACCCTGACCACTGAAATATTAAAACCCTTTTAGACGTTTACAGGAACCCATCGAGTTATGAACCTTCTGAGATTACACAGTTAAAAAACTTTAGAAAACCAGTAAAATTGAGTAATATAAACAAGTTAAGATTGTGGTGTAGTAACTGTCTTGTAAGATGGTGGTCTAATGCAATTTGCATGGAGTCGGCAACTTTGAGCCGTAAACAGGGGGGCCACCGCAGGCCTTAACACGTTTTCTGAACTTTAAATTGATTCTGTATTTTACTGTTGCCTTTTCGTTACAAAATCTGTGGAACTGGTTACGTTTAAGCAGTCAGTTTACTGTGATGAAGGTGTTTGAGATTTATAGCCTTTTTTCGGGGAGTGCTTCAAGTTTTTTTGGGTGTATTGAATGTTGGGTTGACCTCTTTGTGTTTGTGTTTAGTTTAGAAATGAGGAATGGTATTCGTTTATAAGATGGTTGCGGATTTACGAATCTTTTGGAGTATATTAGGACAATTTGTAATCTATTTGAAGTACAATAGGACAATTTGTAATTTACATACCTACAACTACATCTTTAATTACTTTTCTGTGCTAAACGACGAGAGCATAGATATTATGATAAAAAATATTCGTTTGTATATTAACATTGCCGTTTCTTATCTCCAAGTGAACATTTAAGAAACATCTAGAACTCAATTCTTAGCAAAAAAAGATTCAAAAGTACGTAAATGGCACATAAAAATATTCAAAAACTTTTGCCCAAAATCTATTTATATAGGGACACTTGAAAACACAATTCTACGCTTTTTATGTAAAAATTAGCAAACAAGTCGTCTCTGTGTTGGAAGAAGAAATGATTGTAAATCCATGAAAATTGTCTTTGGGAGGAAATTTATTCCTCCCTAGAGGACATTGCGGTCTAATTCAGGAGTGATAGCGATGTTATGAGATTTTTATTTGAATGATCGTCCTTTAAAACCGTTTTTGAGGCAAAAGATGGACTCTCTGAGGTACTGTGTGAGCTTTTTACAGAATTTGGGTCCACAAATAAATGGTATTTGCTTTCTATCAAGGGATTGGAATATCTCATTTTTATTGATTCATAATATTACATTCTTTTACTTTATTTTTTATACTTGATTGTTTGACGTTTGGCCACCATCTCGGCTTGTGGTAAACGATGACGTAGTCGACGCTGCAAACACGCTAAACACGCCTACCTATGAGCAACCTGTTTACTTTGATGATACCCAAGTTGCATTTGTCAGGAAACAGATTTCGACAAGGAATTCTTCTGCATTTATTATTCTTCTCTTTAAAAATCTAAACGTAGAAGATACTAAGAGACAAAGATATCACGTAGTTAACAGTTTTAACGCTAAGCAATTAGTCTATAAGCCTCTAATTAAGCAAAGACAATCATTTAGTAAACGTACTATTTATTACTTTTTGATAACATCTACTTCTATAGTAAATTGCCATCAGTACAACCCAACCACAAGTGACTGCCACCACAGCCCAGTCCTAAGCCCCGCTCCGCTCAAAGATTTGGTACTTAAGAAAAAATCGACGCATTAGTGATCCAGACATTAAGTAAACAAAATTAGTCGACAGTAAACGAATCCCTCCTTGCCTTGTTTATCTTGCCACTGTAATTACCGAAGCCTCTGAACTGGGATTTACGAGAAAATGGAATACTATATACAAACTCACAGATACATTTATTTATATGTATTTATTTAGTCTTGTCTTGTTTGCCTCGAATGCAAGGATCTCATGTAAGTGAGCTAGTGTAAGAGCAAGTCTGTTTCGTATAAATTAGTTCAATTTAGAATTTACTTTGCATGCGACGAGTCAAGATTTATATTACGCAGCTACATATTTAAATCAAGACTAATTTTAGATAGAGAGCAGTATGCTTGAGTTTTTTATTTCATGCATTAATCCTTTGAGTACCGTCATTATAGACACAATTAAAGAACAATAGGTTGCGGTCACCGGTGTCCTCGCGGTGTTTGACAGTTTAAAATATATTTATGTAGATACGTTATGAAAATTAAAATTGATATGCTGCATAATTACATAAACAAAGACTTAAAGAAAAGGCAGAATAGACCCTTAAACCGAACCAAACCTTAAGCGTTATGTTTTCCAGCTGTGTTTGTCTGCCATAACTAATTAGTCTATGTGTATTAAACGTTCCACAAATGGTTTTAGGATCACAGTGTGTGATAGTGAAACATCATGGTATTATTTTTAACCGACTTCAAATTAATAAAGTATTATGAATACTGAATAGTTTTGTATATTATTTCACCCGAAAAGAAGCTTAGTTTTATCACAAAACATAGCCACAAATTAACAACAACATCGATACACTATAACACTGAATCATACACAGTCTCTTCATATCCTACACGCATCATACATACATATATAAAGGTTTATATATATGCTCACTATGTTTCTATCCCCTACATCAAAAGGAGACTATTTTCCATGTTCAGTTATGTTTCCGCTTCAAACGTTCTACCCAAAAGCTATTTGCTTTAAATATAGTTCACACAAACGATGCTTTGTGCAAAGGAGTCGATGTTCTTGTGGGTGCACGGAAAAATACGTGCGCGGTCACAAATTGGAATC